GAAAATTTGGCAGACATTACTCCAGTGTGGATGAGGTGGGTTTTCTTTACTTTTAAGTGTGAACGTTTAACTGTCACTCTATAATGTTCTCCGTCTTAGAACCACCCACCACTAGACAGAATGAAGCAGTACATATATGAGATTGTCCGGAAAGAAAGTAACAATGTTTTTCATGTTCATTGAATAATGAAACCTCACTATAGTTTGCGGCAAATCATGCTCCCTATTCATGGTGATCAGTTACAATATAAGTTTACTTCATGAGTTATTTAGTTTCGCTTGTCAATGTTCAAAACACTTTTGAAATGTTCAGAAATCAAAACTTTTTTCCAGTCGAAAGATCATTTCAGATCTTCGAATTGGAGAAATCCAAAAAACAAAACTATTTAGAAAAAGCTGTTCAAGAACGTAGGTTATTCCACTTCAAAACTATAGTGATTTCTCAATTTCACAAAATGTTAACTATGATCTCATTCGTTTCATCATCTTTTTTTTCATTAATCATGAGTCTAGTCTGTTCTCATTAAAGTTTCTCATGCATGTCCTTAAAACTTCCTTAACTTTTTTTTCTTCTCTTATATCATCAAACTATTTCCTCTGTAAGTTTGAGAGTATCAAAAATTTAACGGTAAATCTAGGTATCTCAATTTTCAATTCTAACAACAGTGTTAGTAATTTGGATCAAGAACTTTTTGATTTCCAACTATTTTCTAACAAACTATTTCATGATTTCCTGTTTTTTTCCTTATAATGTATGATCTATTTATCCTCATTTTATCCTTAAAACATGATTTTGGAATCTCAATGTTTCCTTCTTGATGTCTGAGTCTTATGATTTGATAATTTTCAAAATCAGCCGTGCGGAAGTCTCAGGGGAAAAGGAAAAATATGGTTTTTGGTTTCAAAACTCTTACTTCTAATGAGAAAAAACTTCTTTTTTTTGAGGAAACATAATTTTAATAGATGTTTGATTCTCAAAGTTCCTTAAACTGAATACTTCACTATATTGAATGCCTTTTGAACCTCAGAAAGTCCGACATTCCGAACTTTCATCACAATTTTTTCATAACTCTCAATCATTCAAAACTTTCAGACTGATGCACAAAATGATATTTCTCATAATTTCGTGCTATCTCAACTCCTTTCTGGCAATTTTCACAAATTCCATTTTAATTGCTTTAATCATTCGAAAGTCTCCCCGATCCATGGGAAATTATAAATATTTGATGTTGATTTTTTCAATTTTTGGCATAGTTTTCGCTATAATCGATGGAACAAACCAGCCAATGCTTCACTTTTTCAATGGTGCTTACATAATTTTTAGCAGGAATTCTCTAGGGCTTCCAAGGAAAATTTCTTTCTGCTTTATAGGTAAACTTTTGGAATCAAAAAGTCATTTAAAAACTATTTCCAGCACTTAATTGCTCATGCTATGGAATGATTATGATGCTACTGGTTTTTCACTTTGTATATCGTTTTCTTGCCATTTGTAAACCCCACCGACTGGAAATTTTCACATTTCCGAGCTTTAATTATTTAATTGCAATTTTTTTCGTAATCAGTCTTGAATGGTGGATTGTAGCAATTTTTGTAGCTGGAGAGAATCCAGTAGTTGAAGAACACATTAGGTAAAATGGCGAGAATATTTTCAAAAAAAATCAATTATTATAGAGAGACAATGTTGACCAATTATGAATTGAATCGGGATGATTACACATATGCAAGTTCTTGGTTTTATGTGAGTTTCTTTCTCATAAGATAAATTCGAAAAAAAAATCTCAGAGAAAAAATCCAACAACTGGAGAAGATCATGCAAGTATTCCGGATTTTTTATTTTTGGCGAATCTCGGAATTATTATTGTGAGTTTCAAAAGAAGTCTTGAAAATACAACGACTAAAACATAATTTCAGTAAAAAATGCAATTCCAGAATTAAAAAAAGGCCTGAATCTTATATTTGTACAAAGTTATGGCTGAAAAATATCTTCTAAAATCAAAATATTGTTTCATATAGGATATCCAGAAATTTCCAAAACTTCTAAAATTTCCAGGCGTCTGGGTTTTCTATAATTGCGTACTGTTGGCTTCGTCTCCGTTTTGAACTCTTAAAATCCGCTCGAGATCTCACACAAGTGTCCCAGAAGACTCACGAAATGCAACGTCAGCTTTTTCGTTCTCTCATTGCTCAAACTCTATTTCCAGTTTTCCTAATGTTCATTCCAGCCGGTATATTGCTCAGCTTTCCTATTCTAAAACAAGATATGGGACCGATTGAGCTTATTATTCTACCATTAATCACCACTCAACCATTCATGGATGCTCTGGTTCCCATGTATTTCATAAGAGACTATCGGATGGAAATCATGAAATTTTTCAAAAAGTCTGGAAATCGAATTGGCAATTCCAGTCAGGATAAATCAAACACTTCTAAAGTATTTTCTTTGAGAACCTAGATAATGTATTGTTTAAATTTTTAAAATATGTTTTATTCAAAAACAATTGCTCAAAAAATAGAACAAAAATACAAGACAAATTTGAATTAAAAATCACATTTTAATATTGCAGGTTTTATAATTCTAAGAGAAGAATTGGAAGAGTGAAAAAAATTAGAGCAAAAAAAAGAAAAAGAAAAAAACACCGGATTCTGTACGATAGGAGATCATGATGGAAGGAAAAAATCCGTCTAAAAAGTTTTCAAATAACAATTTTCAATGGATTTTTTGAATTTAGAATCACAGATTTGTTTGCAAGATAATATAGTTTGAGAGGAACAGACAATATAAAATACAGTTATTCAAAGAATTTTAACTTTTTAAAAATTAAACATTTTGGGATGACTAAAAATTGAAAATGTAGAATTGGAAAATAACAATATTTGTGAATTAACAACTTCTGTGATTCGAAGTCTGGTTTTTTGATTTTTTCAAATTTCCCATTTTCTATATCGAATCAACCAAAAAAATTAATTTTGAAGCGAGTCGTGTCGAAAACAAAAAAATTCAGAGTTTTAAACTTCTTCAAAGCTTGAAATCAAAGGAGTAGTCACAGTCGCATAAATTCCTCCAGTTGGACAATTTGACAACTGATCTACTGTACATTGAGGAAGGCTTCCATTTCCAGAAGATGCTCCAGAAGACGTCGAAGAGGATGTGGAGCCAACCGAGATTCTAGGAATCGAAGCAGAGTTTTGAAGTCCGTTGGAAGATGGAGAAGTGGTAGAGATTTGAAGAGGTTCACGATGAGATTGGCTGGCATGAAGCATAGGAGATTGAGATGGGAGAGGAATGGCTGGAACCACAGTAGGAAGAACAGTACCGATTTGAGTGGATGTTGAGAAGTAGGCGTCGTTTGATGAGGTGTTGGCAGGGGCACAGCATGGCGGTCTGGTGTTCAGTGTCATCTGGAGTTCCATGATTTTTTGAGTGAGCACGTCGATTTGAGAAATGAAGTGATCTTGGGTTCTATGCATCTCCCAGAGAGTCTCATGCATATCACTGTGTAACTTCCCAACATCCAACAGTGAATTCCCTTTCTCTTGGAGCTTCCTTTGATCCCACTTGATTCGGCGAAATTCGTTGATCGAGTGGAGGAAACGACGTTGATGGTGGCGGAGACGAAGATCGTCACCCTTGTGAAGAGCCTTTTTGTACTTGTGGATAAACCTGAAATGCAGTCATTTAGTCTAGAAATCTTTTTGATTTTCTCCCTGAAGACTTTTTGAAACTTTTTCAATTTCCGAAATCTAGCTGAAAATAATCGAAAAAAATCCAAAATTTTCAAAATATACAAAAAAATTGCTAGACTTACCAAGTCTCCTGAAGCACACTGGCTGCTGCATTTTTCCGTTGATTGGTTAATTTGGAATCAGCCATAAAGTTGTTCACATGCTTCTCGGCTCTAGATAACTCTAACTTTCGAGAAATTATTGCAATTAGAGCAGATGACACTCCAGCACCCTAAAACAATATATCGTTAGCTCAATCACTGTCTATTCATCATCAATTACCACAATTCCAGTAGTAATCGAAAGGCAGCGTCCGCAGTAGGTATTTGGCACAATGTCTCCGTACCCAATAGACATAAAAGTGACCATTATAAACCACATAGAGTTGAGATAGTAGTGCTCCACGTCTAGTTGACCGTCGTATCTGGATATAATTAGCAGTAATTAGAATGATTGGATTAGATAATCACCTTTCACACTGTGTGAACATCCAAGACATGCACATCCAGTAGGATAGAGTGAAAACTATGAGGACGCGAAGTGGGTGATCGGCCATCATAGTTTTGATCACAAATCGGAAATCCATGGAGATTCGGTTGAGTGCGGCAATTGAGCGGGTGGCGGCATCCTGAATAATGTTTTGTAGTCTGTCAGGAAATTGTATCAGTATCAGTTTGATATGAATATTAATAGTTCACTCAAAAAACAATAATGCGCATTTACCTGAAACTGTTTGCTATGAAGAACCATAAATCGGCAGACGAGATAAGAGCGTAGAAACATTGGAACAGATAGAAGCACATCCACAGGTACATTGATCATTTTGACATGACGAGTGTCCGCGTTGATGTATGGCATTTTCATGAGACCATCAGAGAAGACTTCTGGAATTCCCATGTAAACTTTTTTTTCCTAAAACTACAAGAATAAGCCTAACTATTGTCTGTCTCTAACTTCATAAATTCAGTTAAAGTTTGACGATGTTTGTTTTTATTAAAAGTGCCTAAAAATCGAAATTTCTGAAAATTGTGCTTAAAACCGTAATAAATTTTCCCCGGTTCAAACTCGCCAGGAAAAGGACAAATCATACAAACGAGCACTTCAATGAGCATTTTCACAAATCGATCGGTACTAAACGCGACTCGCCAATCGTCCGCTCCACTATCAATCAGCGCAATCTTCACTTCAATCGCATGATAGTTTACCAGACAGCAGATCAGAAAAAATGTAGAGACAACACATGCGGAACGGAGGGTAACGGAAATGGGGGAAGCCTGAAAACTTGGTATTAAGTGCGTAATTAGGAAAATTTGTTACTTTTGTAACACCGGTAGAGTCAGAAAGAGCTGTAAGTTCAGAGTCGATAATGACAAGGATCAGACCAAGGACTGCAAGGAAGAGGGAGATGTCGCAGACCTGAAAGTTAGAAATTAGCGGATTTTCAAAAAAAGTTTAATTCCAAAAGCTTTTTATTGTACCCACCCGACCACATTTTTTTAACTGTGTTTTTTTCCGGTTTTGTGACCTGCTGACTAAATTTGCACATACATATTCCACTCTTCGATGAAATAAATAAATAAAATTACATGAAAATTTTTCTTCTTCTGAAATTGATAGGGCAGGTGCTAAAACCGAAGATAAATCAATTTCTTTGGAGGTTGGCTTTTTTGGCTTTCTTTCCAAACGAAAAAGTCATGTCGAACTAAGATGATGATGAATTTTTGGTGAAAAAACATCTAGGTCACACGAAAGTGAACATTGGTGTCAAAAAAATCAGAATTTAGTGCGAAATATTTTATCCAATTTCAGACTTTACTTTTTCCAGGAAACTTCCCACGATACCGATTTCTCCTAAAATCCGAACTTGCCTTATTCCGTCTGATAAACAACTGTTTCCGTAGGCGACATCTCATTTTGGCCGTGGAGTCGCTGAAAAGATAAAAAATTATAAAAAATCAAAACAAAGACATAAAAACGTTTCTAATATCTTAATTTCAAAATTTCGAAAGCTACTTACTCAAAGAAAAAGAATATTGTGTCCACTATGGTTTTTCGTGTGAAGATTCGCATCTTTTTTATGATTGAAAATATAAGAAAATATCCTTCGATTTCGAATTTCTTCGAAATATCATAAGCTTGGAGGAATGGACAACTGGGAAGTGAAAGTTCAAATATGTTTACTTTAAATTAGTTTGACACTTTTTCATCCGAAATGACCAGATGTTATGAGGAGCGAAAGCATAGCGAAAGCCTTCTGATTTCTCTGAAGCTCCGCCTATGTTTTTTAGTTCATATAGGAGAAAAATTGAGAGAGAGAGAGAGACAGAGATATAGGAATCGAAAAGAATTGTGTCCATTTTTTCAGATACAATTTCATTTTTTTTTTCAAAGTGTCTCGTGGTTTTCGACTCATTAGACACAGAAATATATTCTCATAGAGAATGTAAATTTGAGAAGGCTTGTCACGAAATGTGGATTTTTCATGTGAGTCTGAAGAAGTGAGACATCTGTTGTTCCATATTTGTGACACTCAAGAAAACTACGGGAAAAATGAAAGGATTCAAAAATGTTCTAGTTTTGATATCGCTGAAACTTTTTTTTGTTCTAAAATTCTAGAAAATTTGAAAATAAAAAACTATAGGAAATTTGAAAGGAGTTACCAGAAACTTAGAACTCAGAAACCAAAAAAGTGTGCAAATACAAAAACTTATCAGGTCAAAAATTCAATGCATTCTAAGGAACTTATAAAACTTCTGAATCTAAAACCTTCAAAAGCAATCATCTGATTCTCTCAAAAATGTTTACACCTTGAAAAAAAACCTAAAACTCGAATTACCGCCATTCATGTGGATAATAGAATACATTCAGCTCCGGGTCAGTGAGCGCTTCCTCTGATAGCATAGCTTTTCATAAATAGACAGGGAAGGAAAATGATCCAGCCGAATCCTTTTTCTCTCAGATTTTCAAGGAGAGAATCTTCTCGGGAAATATAGAAAATCGTAGAAAAAGAAGAAGAAGAAGAAGACAAAAAGTGTCAGAATTCTTTCATCGTTCCATCCAATCAATCTCCGCCCCTTTTCCCTTTCTTTTATTCAATTTTGTCAATGACACTTGTGTTGTCAGAAAGCGTCCAAGAAAAGAAATTCAGAGAAAAAGTGGAAAAAGACCAGAATGAAATTACTTTTGGAGCTGTGAGAAGATACGGGCTAAATTTGTAAACGTCAGAAAGCACTGGAAATATTTCAAACGGCACAAAAAACCCTATGAATTCTAAAAAGTTTCTATAAGTTCTAAGTATCAGAAACTGTTTTAATATTTTTAAGATCTGATGTTTCACGAGGCACTTCAAAATTCCAAAATTAAATCTCACTGAATAAATCTTGAATGATTCCGTTCATGAAGAAAATCCAAATTTTAAACCATTTTCGTCTTTTTTCAAACCATTTTCTTTTTCAAACTATTTTCGTCATCGAACCAATTTTGATATTTTTGAAAACACACAGAGAACGTACACGATCTTCCTCAAATCTCGTGTTATGCAAAACCATGGCATCAGGAGAGCGAAAATTGTAGAAATATTCCAGAAAAAAATTATAGTCATGTTTTTTTGCTTTTTGGAATAAAAAATTAGAGAACAAAATTTTTCGTTCTTGTGTGAGCAGGAAATGTGTGCTCCGTGAGAAAAAGCACGAAACCCAAAAAACAGGGTGGAGCTTCCGGAGCTCCGGGAAAAGAACTGCACCGAAATGAATTTTTGATTAGGTCCTTTCTCTTTTACGCTTAAAAAAGCCATGTTGGGAAGGAAACATCTAATTGAAATAAAGTTCACATCTTGAAACAATTTTGAACGAGAAAAACAAAATAATTGGAATAACATTTCACTTTTAGTGAAAACGACCAAAATTTTTAAATACATTCTCAAATGGATTAAAAGATTTCGTATTTTTCGTTCTAACAAAAAAATTTCTCATGAATCTAAAATTTCTTGAAAAGGTTGAAGCTGCGGGAGCACTAAGAGAAATTATGAATGCATTTCTGAAAAATAAAATAAATCCATCTTCCATCCGGCTTTTGGGAACCGGAAAAAAATTTCCAAAAAAGAAAATTTTCGAAGGAAGTTTCTACGGGCGGACCACTATTTTTATGATACCCAGAGGGATCCATGATCTAGTAAAAAAGAAAAACGGCTAGAATTTGAGTTTTGAATTTTTCGTATTCTGGATTATAGAATTTCGAAAAATCAAAGTTTCAAGGGAAAGTATGAAGAAAAATGATGTACTTAAAAAATCTACTTCACATGAAGATTCTGAGTCACTCTGGGTCTGAACTTCGTAGGAGAAAAAATGACACATTAGAGCATTTTAGAAAAAAGCCCCTAAATTATCTTTTTCAGTGTAATTTCCGTTTTCCATAAATCGAAAATGTCTCTCACATTAGTTTCTTATCTCTAGAATCTTTTAAAATCTTTGCTTCAACATGTGATGAAAAAACCAAAAAATATGCTGAGCTCAAAAAAGAGGTTAAAGTGCAGCAGAACACAATTTTTCGTTTTTTTTTATCTGATGAATGCTATGCTCATTGAAGCTGAAAAAAGCAGGAAAAAAGATTCCAAATGACGTGACTCAGAAAAACCCCTTTGTTCCCTCGCAATTTTGTTTATATGTCCTCTATAATCACCTGGAAATGGCGATTCCGTATCCACTCTGTCGTCTTCTGAATCCGGCGATTTTACGTGGAGTCTGAAGGCCAGTCGTGGCTCCAGAAGCCGAGCCTTCCTCGATTGCATCATTGTCAAAACGAACACCTCCGTTCACATAGCGATCGTCTGTAAAAACGAATGTTGATATCAGGAGTCATAATTTTTTAGAGATTCTATCTTTTTTACCTGGAAAATTTGTATAGTTTTGAATTTTGCATTTCTTAATTTTCTACCCACACCTTCAGTATATACCGTAAACACTCTAATAGTAATAAAAAACCTAAAACCTGGATACTCTATGTTAAATTCACAGAGGAAAGTTCAGCATACCGTAAACACTCTAATAGAACGTCACCTGAATTGTCAAATTTGAGCTCATGTATCTCATTTTCTGTAATCACGATAAACATTTTATTAGTTGACAATTTTTCGATCATTCAAAAAAAAAGTGAGATATATCGGCTCAATAGAACGCCATCTGGACGGTCCGGGTGGCGTTATATTAAAGTGTTTACGGTAGTTGAGATGTCTTCAATGTTCATTCATTTTCTTCAATTTTCTTTTACGTCAGATGTTTTCTAGAATCCGGAATTTCTCGAAAAATCAGAATCTAACAATTTTGACAATTCTTTTTTATTTTCACATATTACTCAAATATTTGTTGTATCCAACTCCAAAATTTTCTGACAGTGAGAGAATCCGTCAAAAATAAAAGCAAAAGATTTTCAATTCCCCAGACGGTTGGAACATAATTTTCGATCTCTATTTTTGTGGAATTTTGGGAGAACTCGAATTTTAGAACTTGTTTCTCAAAAAAAAACTATATAATGACTGGTTTTTAAAATTGGTCTGGTCTCTGAGGAATAGAGAAGACCTTCTTTTTGTTGTAGGAGAAACATTGAATCAGTGTATCAAAAAATTCAAAAATTCGCGTTAAGGAATTCAACATTTCATAAGTACAGAAGTTCCAAAGTTCAGGAAAATCAAGAAAAACAATCAAATTGGTGAAATCAAAATTTCAAACACTTGTAGATCGAAACACGGATGTTTTGGGAAAAATACCCATTTTGGGATTTCACAATCCATAGCATCCAAGTTATCGAACTTTCAGAATTTAAAATTAGAAAACTCAAAGTTACAGTTCTTCCCATATCTAAGAATGTTGCAAACCTTCTTCAATCAATATTTTTGCCTCAGAATTGAAACACAATCCAAAGATGAGTGCTTGTAGTTTTATCATATATTCTGACAATACCGAAGATTAGCAATCAGGTTACCACGAAAATTTCTTTCTGGTTGCCACAAACCAAAGAGAAAGAACAGAAATGACCGAATCTCAAGAAAAACAAGAGAGGAAGAGGACAAGAAATGAGCTGAAAAGTAGGCGGAGTTTGAGCTAGGGGAGGCCGGCGGCTGAGTTGCTGCCGAGTAGCGGGCGGGCACCCAGCCGTTTTTAATTACAGAAAAAGGCACCGGGTTTAGGAGAAATAGTTTAGGAAATAGAGAGATTCTAGACAATAAAATGGGCGATTAATTTCTGGACAATGACCGAGAGGCCCATTTTTTTCAACTTGAGTTTCTTGGTAAAACAAAAAAAAAGTGGCGAAATAGAACACATTTAAATTTTATAGAATTCTGCTATTTGGGTCAAAACGTTTCTCTGACCAAAAATTGAGAATTGTACACCCCCTATTTCTCATGCATATTCATTTCAAAATTTATCGAGGGTATTATTGGATGAACTAAAAAGACTAAAAATTGTAAAAAGGGACATTTTGAATACATTTGAAAAATATTATTTTGGAAAAGAAGTTTACTCTTTTTTCAAATAGAACCCTAGATAAATATGAAATTAGGCGGTTCACTTTTGAGAGATTTTTTTCCAAGAAAAAACCAGGTGCAAAAGTGCCAAGTTTTGAAATTGAATCAGTTTTCGTCGGAAATCGAATTTTCTAGAAATTACAAGTTGATATATTTCTGTAGTATTAATAATTTAATTTCGGAAGAAAAACTCAAAAAATGGGGGAAAAATGTTGTGATGGTTTTTTTTTAAAACAAACTTAGGAAAAATCATACTTGCGACCGGGCCTTTGCCGGGCCTTCCTGGGATCCTAGTTTCTTTTAGAATCAACATTTTCAGATCAACTAAATTTGATATGATAGAACATGACGAGTGCTACAAAATGATATTATTTGAAAAACTATGTCTTGTCTATGAACACGGTTACAGACAAAAACTGAGGCCCGGTCCGGGCCCACGCTACAAGCCTCGGCCACTTTATGACTTGTAACTTTGTTCATAGACAAGAAACAATTTTCCAAATAGAATCATTTTGTAGCATTCATTCTATCGTATCTAATTAATTTGGTCTAAGAATTTTTGATTCAAAAAGAAACTATGGCAAGGCCCGTGAAGGGCCCGGCAAAGGCGCGGTTGCAAGTATAGAAGTTTCAGAATTGAAAAAACACGGTTCACCAGGTTTTTTTTTCAATTTTGCACATTTTTTAATTTTCTACACACACCTTCAGTATATATTGAAATGTTAGAAATGATATTCTGGAATTCCAATTCAGAAATTCGGTAATACTTCAAAATTCTTAAAAACAATGCTCACATATAATTTGTGTTAATTAATTAGAAAAATCGAGATTTTGTAAATTTTCAGTTTTAGCCCTCTAACTATTGAGCTATCGGGCCTTTCTAGAAAATAACTTTGAAAACGTGAGAAAACCCTATAAAAATACATTCTTTGCCCCTCGAATAAGCCTAATTGAACCCCGCTAAACAAATCTCCGTAAACAGAAGACAACTTTTTCCAGGAAAAACGGAAAGAGGACGTGATTTTTATCTCAGTGGCACAGAAAAAAGAAGATTCTGCAGAGGTAATGGTGCGGAAATTGCTCATTATGGTGAATAAAAAATTAGGATTTTCTATAAAGATTCTAGATTTTTACGATTTCGAAAGTTCTGAAAAAATCGAAAAAAAAATTTGCGCCTTCATGAAAAAGAACATTTGAACTAACAATGCTATATTTCCTTACTATTGGTCCCTTTTTTTAAATCCCGTCTTTCTTCGAAATGACGCCGCCGTCAAGACTACCCTCTTCCAGGATTAACCCCAAAGTATTACAAATTTCTGGTGGTTCCTATTTTTTTTGTTTCCCAAATTCATTTTTGTTGAGTTTTTTGTTGAGTAATCGTTATTGTGGAGAACACTAAAACATTCTTACAATTAGTTGCGCAGAATGATCTAATTTCCAACAAGAATCAGATTTTTGTGCAATTTTCAGGATTCCAGGATTCAAAGAATTCTTCAAAGCAAAGTGTACTTGAAACTATCTTCTAAAAGTTACCTGATAAATTGCGCTCCATGCAAAGAAAGACGGAGTATTCAGGACTCAAAAATAAAGATATATGTATGTTATTTCATAGTGATTTTCAGGTCTGCACTTCACAATTCAAAAACTGCGAAACTGTAAACTTATGAACAAAGATTGTATTTGATGTTAAATTGTATTTGATGTTAAATTTTTGGCTCTCAACCTTCATCAAACTCAAGTTTTTGATGCAAAATGAAAACAGAAGGAGATTTCAAGAGCTAAAAATGATATGACATATAAATATTTCGAAAAAATCTATACTGGATAATGAAGACAAGTAAACAACCTTGGTTGACATGCCCGCCAAGATCAACTAGGCCGTAACGAGTTCTGTTCATTCAGGCAAATATTTGAAGTCTGAACATTTAGAATTATATTGAATGTAAAACTTCCAAAAACCTAAAAGTAGTGTGAAACACTTCAAGACATGAACTTCTTTCCGTCACACTGTAGGCGATTTAAATATTCGTGTAATTTTACTCTGTCAAGTATTTCCTCAAAGTTAGCTAAACACCCTGAAAAAATAGGTTCTGAAAATGAGCTACAGGTCGATCAGAGAAGCTGAACAGCATACATTATACCTTCTTCGTCAGTATGACAAGCCTCTCCTCACGGTGATACTTCAAGCCATTTCGAAGAAAAAGTTACACCTCTTCCGATGTCCTCCTTATTATTTTTGCTATTAGGTGTGGCTTTTTTTACAGATGGAGTTAATAGCTGAGTGGAATTTCTCTCTTTTTTTTTGAATTTTCAATTCTAGACACTTTCCATTCCATATTCACATGACGTGCTAGATAGTGTTCATGAATAAACAAAATAATGGAGAGGAAGGAGCGAACTATCAGGTTTCACTTTTTTGCGTTGTGGCTTAAAGTGACCAAAAAAAAGCATATATACATATATTTGACTTACATGGATTAGTAAAAATATGAATAATTTGTTTAGGATCGCTTCTAATCACTCTCCGTCTCGTACTACTCCTTCGAAGCGGCCCGTCAAATGTCGAGAACCTTCTGGAATCAAATTGCGATAAGGCCATAAGGGCGGTAGATCCAGGCGCCAAGGTGCTTCTTCTAGGCGGTGCCACGTGGCAACTGGTTTTTCTCGCGGAAGACATCGATGGTGACGTTCCATTGCTCAGCTCGCTGGGCCGTCGACGCGACGACTTCTTCTGACTCATTGTACGTGTTCGCCGTCGATGTGAGCCGCGAGAGAAATCGTTGTGCTCGGCGAGCTTTGATTCGGGGGGACAGCCATGCAGGTCGAGCGAAAGCTGTTGAGGCGGAATCGTCGGGTTCAGTTTGAATTATTATGGACGTGGTGATGGTGAAAAGATCTCAGGTTACTGGAGAATATTGACCTGGTTTCAAAAAACGAGGCAGGTTTTTGGCGGGTAATTTAAGTCTGGAATGAATAGAAGATAAGAGGTGAAAGAATACAAAAAAAGGTGACGTGAAATATTAAAATGAGCAAGAAAATATGTTTGGTGAACCGAATAGGAGATACCTAGAGAACTGGTAGAATTGAAAATTTGGACTAAATTTGAATTCAATCTCAAATGGGTGAAAAATCGCACAGTGTGATAGACACTTTGAGAAAATCGAAAACAGGAAAAAGTCCAATTTTTCGAAAACTGACTAAACAGTAATTTAGGGTGAAAAATTTTACAGAGAAGGTAGTTTAGCTTATCTCATGACAATTCAAAAATATTTAATTTTTTGTATTTTTAGCAGATAAATTTTCAGAAAAATTATTTACAATACTGAACAAGTCTAGCGACCTACTTACAAATAACAAGTTAGGTGCAGACAATTTTAATTTCAAGTTTAAGGAAAACAACGAGTAATTTGAAGTGACTGGAGCATTCTAGTCTTATAACTGGATTAGGAAAATGTTTGATACAAGAGTTTAACATAACAATGCTTTTTCAAAACACCGCCGCTTTTTCAAAAAGCAAATTGAGTTCAAACCTCTTTTAACAGTTCTATAACTTAGTGTAACAATTATATGGCTATAAGTAGAAAATTACAGAAGGTGGGAGGACTTAACTATATATAAGTGGGAAACTGGAAGGAAGAGGAGTGAAAAAAAACGGAAGAAGAAGCACCAGAAGAAGAAGCGTCCCGTTGGTTGCGTGTGTGCAGTGGTATGCACACACAACTGAGTGCTCTTCTTCTTTCTTCTCTTCTAGTCCACCGCTTCTCGAATATCACCTCATTCCCTCACTATCCCCTTTACCCTTTTTTTCAAAAAAATAGAAAATAGTAGGAAGCTCCGCCCAGTTTTAATAGAGGATTTATTGTCATATATTGCTGTGGTAGACCAGAGGATCATATGAAAATATAACTTTTTTAGGATCAAGACTCTCACAAAAAGGTCCTTCGAGAAAGACTCAAAAATAGTAAGGCCTCCTGTAGTAAAAGAACTCCTAAAACTGTATCGTCAACATTTCGTGAAATTGAAGTTTTCTTTTTAGTTGAAGTTCTCTACAAGTTTTAGAACAAGAGTTCACTGAATTCTATGGAAGCGATTGTTTTGAAAAAAAAGGTCTAAAAAAAGGTCCAAAGAAGGCCAATCATCGGTCTTAGAACCAAAAAAGAATTTTGAAAATTACCAGAAATTTCTTCGAGAATCTAAGTAAGCAGCTTTTGAATGGTTATACCGTGAAACCTGTATTAGAAGGGCCCCCCACACTGTCAAGTTTGAGCTCAATTATCACAGCCCTGTAAGGGATATCAAAAATGTGTCAACTGATAAAATGTAAAGGATATTATTATAAACAATTTATTGGTTAAATTTTTTATATCTTTATCAGGAACCGAGATAAATTGGCTCAAAGTTAAAATTAGAGGGCCCTTCCATTACAGGTTTTACGATATTCATAACTAAGATCTTTAAGTTGTTTCAATAATCAAATGAACTGAGGAAAAATCCAGTGACATATCAAAGTATAATATCACATGCGCCTTTAACAGGAGATGGATTCCAAGGCCAAGAAAAAAAAGAGAAAAGGCGAAACGAGGAGAGAAAGCAGAAGTAATCTTATCAGGATTATTGACTCGGTGCCGGGGCGGTTCTGATTATCAGGGAAAGCGAGACGTATGCCCAGAAAAAAAGAGATTTCTTTTCTTTTCCCCCTATTCTCTATAATTTTTTTTTGAACAAAAAAGACATTTTTTTCAGGATGTTTTTTCAGGATTATGCGATTTCTTTTCAGGATGATTAATTCTAAGAAGTTTTTTTCCTGAAAAAAAAACTGAAATTTGAATTTCAATCAATCTTTTTCTTGAAAAAAACCTGCAGAAGCTCAAGAAGAAAGTGTTCATGGTGAAATAGACTAAACGGAATTTCATCCTGATAGTGAGGAAAGGATCAATAAAGGAAATGAAAGGATTATGAAAAAGAAAACCTTGTGGTTCTTAAACTGATAGATATTTTGTTTTTTTTTCTTTATTCACATCATGAACAATTAAAAACAAAAAAACACAAGGAAAAAAATTACAAAAGATAAAACTTCTTTTCGGAGACACGAAGAAAGTGTAATCTGTGTCTCCGAATCTAAAATATTTCCTTAGTGCCATTATCCCTTTCTGAAAAAAGGAGAAACGGATTATCCCTTCTTCTTCTTCTCCTTATTTTTTCTTATTTGTCGTGAAGTGTTACGTTTGTATAAAAAGTGTAAAAGGATGTGCAGGAGAAATAGAGATAGATTGAACAGGAGATAACATAAAAATATCCTTTAGAAGTGTTCTTCTGGGACCTGGAGGGTCCCACAGAAAAGCTCTAAAACACAAAAGAAAATATCAGACTGAACATTTGAAAATTTTGAAGTATATTGTTCAATATTTTTAAAACATGATTTTACATTTTAAAAAACATGACGCGCTATTCAGGAAAATTCCGCAATTATCCCAAGACTAAGAAATCGAATTTTCGTATTATCAAGGTCCATTTTCCGGTTTTGGAGCTCATCTTGAACTCCTTAGTTTACACTGTATAATGTACAGAAAACCCTTCAATGAGATTGAAAGATTTTTTAAGTTTGAAAAGTTCCCAAACTAACCAGCTTTTGTCTCATCATCAGTCGCCATTTCAACATTGACATTTGGTGTGGATTCGCGACGCGGCAAAAAACGAGCGGTAAGAAGGCTCCGGAATTGTTGAGTGTACCCAGAAACACGGAGAATATCTGAGGAGACCTGAAAAGTTATTTTTTAATCGTTAACATAGTTGTTTTGAGTATTCCATCGTAAATAATTTTCAAACACATTAATTGATTATAGCTCACCGAATACATGGAAAAAGCCCTATCCCTCCCCTCATCTTTCTTCTCTCCAGTAGCCACTGACAGTGACCCATTTTTCGAGCCTAAAACCCGTTTTGGTGGCTCCGTTTTTCTTCGATTCAATGGTGAATCTGTTGGTGAGTTCATCAGACGTTCTGAATTCTTTTTGGATGACAAAAATGCAGACAACTAAGAAAAAAGCAGAAGAACGGAAGAACAAAAAAGTGTCGTCAGTTTTTTTTTCGCTTCTCGAAAAGGTGGCAAAAACGCGAGAAAAGCGGACGGGACACAAAGTAAATTTGAATAAAGGAAATCATATTTTCACACTTCCAGAAGAAACTAAAGAAAGAAAAAAGACAAAAAGTTGAGAATGAAAAAGTTTAGAGGAGAACAACTTTTTTCGAGTCCTTTTTGTTCAACAGCTGAAAGTCTGATAAAAAATAATTAAATTTGGTAGATTTCAGGTGAGTATTAAAACTTTGAGAAGTTAGAAAACATTATCAAAGATTCACAAATCTCTGAAAATCTGAGAAAACCAGGAAATTTGAAGTTATTGCAAAAAACGGCTAATATTTTTCTAGTATTCGAAGAATTCAAAATTCAAGATGACTAAATCTGTCAGTTATTGCATTTTCCATTCTCAAAATATTTTTAAAAAAAGTGTCCAAGCTATCAAGAATTTTCGGGAAAAATTGGGACAACGAAAATGAGAATGAGAAAAAACGAGGAAATTGGTTCAATTTATTTTTCATGTCTTTCTCCGGATGCTCCAATTTTTCAGCTCTCAAATTTCCAAACACGACGTCTTCAACCGAAGGACACTAATTACCTCACGCAAAATTTTCATGTTGGCCTGAATGATCAAATAATGGGAAAAAAGGAAACATTGAGCCTTATTCGAATCTTAAGGAGCATTCAAAATAAAATCAATGAGCTCGGTGAACCGAAAGAAAAGTGGTGGTAAAAAACTTTGTCTTACTTTTAGGGAAAAAAATATTAGTTTTTGAGGAGGGCAGAGTTTGGGTGAGAGCAAATAAAATTTTCTTTTACTCAGTGAAGGCTAGAAGTGTTACTTTAAAAGGGATAAATTGTTAAAAATCGAATTCTTTAGTCTTATCGTAACTTTTGATTTTCAGTCTGAAGATGATACTATTTCATTTCGTATCAGTTATACATGGGCGGTCTTGTTGACCAAGGTCCTTTAGCATTTTTGTTTGTAACTCCACAGAATTCGCAGTTAAATTTGAATAATGTAGAACTCAAAAAAATGTATTCAAAAAACTAAGTAACTTGAATCCCGAATGGAAAGGTGAAGTTACTGTATTGGACAAACTTCCTTGCCCTTCTAGCTCATAACTATTTTCAGAATGGATATTGCAAAATGACATAAAACATGGTTACATAGGTTTGTTAGATCCATACTTTACACGAAAAGGGCTTAGTGGTCATGACTGAATAAACGCTTTCAGCATGTAAAGCTTAGAGCCTCCCGCTCGGTCCAGGTTCAGATCAAACATTGATAACTTTATTATCATGAGCGCATATGTGAAATACATCATTATTTTAATTCCTTGTTTTTTTTAATCATTATAATGAGTTTGACTCACTCTGCCTTCTGCAATTTATATATAATTTCGTAGTTAACTAATTTAAAAATTCTATTCACTTCTCAGTTAATTTCCACCTGAAATTCTAATTTCTCACCTGAGCAATCGGGTTATCAAAACGATCGTGTCGATCCTCATCGGATGTGTGGAACTCGCAACTTCTCCCTTGCCGACGATCCAGTGGAGCCGGAATTGATGTAGACCTTTAATTACAGTAATTATAAACATCGACAAACATTTTTTCAGTCGATAATATTTTCTTAATCTTACCGACATCTCCCGGTGTTGGGCAATTTTTTTTTACAAAGTCGGAACGAACGTCCCATTGATTTTTTTTGCTAGATTAGTTTCTTTTTCAAAATGAGCTGAAGAAGAAAGTGTTGTGAATAATAATGAAAAGTTGATCCAAAATATAAAAAAAATTGTTAGGCTCCGCCCATTTTGATATGATAAGTGATGTCAGAAAGGTTGAGGAGCAAAGGAAATTAGATTTGTGTCCGTCCGGAAATTAATAAAATTGGTATGGACATTTTTCATTTTGTACTTAGTCCGAAAATAGATTTTTGGGTGGAGCTCTGGTTGTTATTGAGAGTGAGATTGATAGTGAAAGAGAAATGGGTAGATAGTAGAGTGATGTTTGAAGCCAGATTTACGCTGAATCGTCAAGGTTAATCCTTTGAATCAAATTCTTACCTTATTAGTTAAATTATGTGTTGTTACAAATAAATTTAGTTAGGTTAAAATGTGTATTTCCTGATTTTCGTCAATTATTGGTCATTAGCCAGCTTTTTTTCTAAATTCGACACTGGTTTTCAACATTTCAACTCGATTTTCTCACAATTTTCGGCACGAATACGTGTGCAAAATAGTATCCGAATATTTTGGCATTCTTGGAGACCGTCGTTGAAATGCCCCAGGTTTCGGAAGAGGTCGCATTGGATACGCATCCTCAGATGAGACATCTGATGATGACGCCCACGGCATCTGGAGATTCAAAATGATGTGACGAAATTCTGAGAAGAGTACAAAATAGAGGATCATTGAGGTTTTCTAGAGATACAAAAGTTTGTTATTCTCTGATGAGAAATATTGAAATTCAGAGTTTGGTGGTGGCAAGTGGTCAAAACAAAACTGAAAATACAAAAAATTGAATTCGGTGATTTTAGGGAAAAATGAATAGCAAAAGGAAGGTTCTTGATATGAGGGACTTGCAAAATTTAGAAAAAAAAGAAGCTCACATTTCCGTAAATCAGTAATTTCTAAATTTTATGAACTCAGTCATGAAATCTAAATGTTCAGAAAACTTGGAATTGAGAAGTTTGAATCAATCAGATACTCCCAAAAGCAAAAAATGTCAGAAATCAAAATTGCATTTTCTAGCTCAAGGATATATTTTCAGATCAAATGCCATCGAGAACAAAGAAAAAGAAAAAGAAATGTGGCAATTTTGAAAAGCCGGATAAATTTCTGGCAGGATATCTTCAAATTTTAGGGGATAAGAAAAAAAAAGAAGAACACACATAAAAATTCGGAGTTGAATGACTTTTCTGGAAGCCTTCCATGCCCGTTTTTATAGCCTCAATTTTCTACTGTTCTTCTTCTATTTTTTTCTGTTCTTTCATTTTTTTTCCAGAAGCTTTCTCAGAAATAGAATCTAAAAATGAATGTGAGCAAAAATGTTGAAATTTGACACCTTCCTCTAACCAAAATGGTGATGATAGATTGCGTGTCTGTTGTGTTTTTTGTAAGATAGAGATAATGCAAAAAATAACAACAGATGTTGTGAAAAGTTATAATGAGACATTTTTTTAGAATATAAGTTTCAAAACTTGTCTGGAACGTAAGAGAAAATGCCAGATTGAAGAGTAATGATACAAAAATGCAGAATTCAAATTCATGAACTACAATTTTCGGAATAGAAACATCGATTTTGGTGTTGAAAATATTTTGACTTTTGTGATTTCCTGAAGTGTTTAATCAAATTTTAAATTCGTACAATATTTTTAAAAAAACAGACAAATCAAGTTTTTCTAAATTTCTGTATTTTCCCAGAATCTCTGATTTTTAAAAAATGAAATGTTCCCTAACTTTTTGAAGATACCTGGAATTTCTGAGAAATGTCGATTCATTAAGAATTCAATTTTCGAAAAACATGGCAAAAAACATGGGTAATTGAGCATGTCTCGTTGGTAAAATGGAAAAGTTTCAGAAAATTCTAAAATTTCAGAATATCAGAACGGCTCGTGCTAAAATATTCGGATCAATAAATAGGAAGAAATTTGCTGCTGTGGTATGAAATAAAATTATGCAATGCAAATTGACTTATTGACTTCTCCACGGAGAGAGGGAATTTCAGACTTTTAGGGCACAAGCCGAAAATTGCACTGAAAAATTGTCAATTCCGTGGCGTCAGTCAGCAGCAAAGCCAATTTTCTTGCGGCTCAATTATTCCACCTGTTTTTCTTCTCTAATTCTCTCACTTCTTCTGATCTCTATCTCTCTCTCCACATTTGTTCCCGGAAAAAACCTATTGGCATCAGAAACCAGATTCTCACAACCTTCAAATTTTTCTCAACCCCAGGTGACAATTTTTTGCCGTGGAAAATTTAAAGACAGAATGTTCAATGATAAGAATATTACTCACCCGAATCTTGGAGTACACGTGGACACGGTATGTCCTTTGACAAGGACTCGACTTGGTGATACCGTTGATTTTTGACCGGTTATCGGAATGGTGGAGAGGGAGCTCGAGAGGGTGTTGCCTGAAAAAATTCTAGTTGGTTTGGTAGATCATTACTATTTTAAATTTGACTTTTTTTGACTGTTAATTGTAAAATTAAAAAAAACCTCTGCATAACAAATGAAGACCAACTTCAACGTTTTCAACTAAATGATAACCTATTGGAGTTTCGAGACATATTCTAGGTTTTTTAGCTAGTTTTCAGTTATTTTCAGATATTCGGTGACCAACTAGATTTAAATTTGCCTTACTAGTACAACTTTTTCGACTGTCACTCTGCACATTTCTGGTTCTTATCAGCCGACTTCTTTTTCTTCGCGTCTCATGAGACAAAGACACTTGAAGACTTGGACGATCGGTAGAATAACGACGATGACGTGGCGACGCTCCATCGGATGAGCATTTTGTAATACGTGGAATTCTATGAGTAGGGGGAGGAGCCGGAGCCATACTAGAGTTGAGAAGTTGGTGATAACGATAATCATTGGCACGATTTCGAAAGATATTTTGGATGGATAACGGGGAGTACATATTGAAATAGAGAAAAAATATGAGCAATACTTTGAAGGAATAAGAACAAAGAATGTTTTGGTAGAAAATTTTGGAGAAAGTTAATCCAAGAATTTGATTTGAAAAACTGAATTCCAGAGATTACGCTATACAAAAAGCATTGCGAGAATGTAAAGAAAAACATAGCACTCAAATATACGAATAAATTTAATTTAGAAATTTTTGAAAGTTAATCTTGAAAAAAATAATGAAAAGAATCTATCATGTTTCGGGAAAAAATAGAAAAAATATTTTCAAAACCGAAACCGAGAAACATCTTTCGAAAACTCGAAAAACAAAGAAATTGCCGTTCAGAAATGCTGGAAAGACTTTGATTTACCGTAAAACCTGTAATAGAAGAGCTCCTTAATTTCAGACTTTGTGCCAATTTATCTCGGTTCCTGGTAAAGATATAAAAAAGTTATCAACGGATAAATTGTTCATCATTATACCTATCCTATGCATTTTATCAGGTGACACATTTTTGATATCTCCCATAGGAGCTGAAATAATTGATCAAACTTGACAGTATGGGGGACCTTCTATTACAGTATCAGAAAAACGCGGAAACAAGTATAACTCATCCATTTCTCGAACAGAAAAATGAGAAATTATGAGAAAACGGGAGGAACCGGGTGGAAGAATAAAAAAGCGTGAGACATGAGGATGAGGAAAAAGCCCGGATTATGACACCCTTTCATAGCTTTCATATGCTGTCAGCTTAGTATTCACTACCCTAGTTTCTAACAACTTTTTTAGATTCCTAGAGAAAAAAATAAATGAAAAATGTTTTCAGAAACTTTGAAATACAATAAAAAAGTAGACCCTATTTTTCAAAAAATCATGAATTCAGTTGTTCTGGAATTTCAACCAGAAATGGGTTTTGATCAGAAATCTCTGATACTCGTGACTATATAAGTCTACAAAAAAAAAATACAAAAATTGTCTCAGGAAATCTTTGTCTGAAAATCCTATAACTAGAAAATGTATAGATATTTTTTAGATGGATTTACTTATTCATAAAATATTTTGGATGACTCTCTTTTTTTGTAAAGAACAAGAGAATTTATTGTGCAAATGTATAAAGTTTCATTTTTATTCAAAAACTGATACGATTTTTTTACAAAGAATTTTTAGGTCACGCGATGCATTGAAATATCCGGTTACGATTCATTAGAACTAATGAATTTTAGGGAAAAGAAAAAAAATCACTTTTTAGAAAACATTTGTGCATGCTTCTCGGAATTTTAGGTTTTCAAAAATTCTGCGAATTCCAAATTTCAAAACTTGTTTGAAAAACTTTTTATAACAGGAAATTGAGCCTTGAAAAAAATCAATTTCCGAAATTTCTGAAAATCCGGAAATTATAAATGAAAGTTTATCGCTAATTTTTTTTTGAAAAGTGTGTCAAAAATGCATAGCTTTCATACCAAAATCAGTTATGTAATGAAAGTGAGGCTGGAAAATTTGTTAGTTGTACACATCCCATTTATGAAATCAAAAAGTGAGAAAAAATTGCACAATTGAAAAAAAATTGTTGAACACAAAGCAATCCAATATAGTAGTTTTCAAAAATGTTGTGGCCTCTTTTCGAATGAAAATGTGTCTGAAAATTCCAAAAATGTTTTCAGTGTTCTATTTTGGCTTCACGTATGAATGAAGAGAAGAAAGAATGAGGCGGAACCTAAAAATTTTATGTACTGGCTCATGATGATCAAAAAGTCATTGTGTAAGAACATAAATTAGTAGTGCAGACAAAGAAAAGAGCGTATGCGTGTTTTGTCTGAATATCTGATGAACAGAAATAGTGCTTTGGGTATCAGGAATAGAAGAAAAATGGCATTGGTGTTGTTATTGATTCTGGTTTGAATGGAAAAGTAAATTTTCATGCTGGTTTGAGCGAAAGCACAATCAAAGCTCTCGCTGAAAAATGAAGTACTCCATTTCAAAAATTTTTTAAAGTTTCCAAAAAACTTCCAGTTTTTCAATATTTCGAAGAACACAAAAGTTTCTGTAACTTCGAAATTGAGTTATTACGAACGAACTCAAATATTACCTTTTTCGCCTACCCTCCAAACAACTTCGAAATACTTTTTGATTTACAGATAAGTTTTTCGTTTTCAGATTCTTTTCTTATTTTTACTGGGAATTCAACCAGGAAATTCTCCAAACATCACATTCTTTGTAGCTCGCAAAGAAAATTTTTATGGCAACAATTCAATTTTTGGTAAAACAAAAATCGTGGTGAAAATGTGATTTTTCCATTCACATTATCTTCAAAATACACAAAATAGGATAACAAAACAAATAGGTTATTTTTAGAAATCTTCTCGTCAAATCTATGAAATTACACCTGCACTAACAGTCTTCGAGGTAAATTATATTTTTAAAAATTGTTTTTACCTTTTCTACTAGAGATTAATGTTCTGAATGTTATCTTTAAAAAATTACTCACCACTTGTCGCCTCGGTTTCCGCTGACAGTCTACTATGACTGTGGCTATTGAGTTGTGGCGTCAGAAATGGAATCCTATCATCCATGTGACAATAGGACGATGCTCGAACTCGCATTAACTGGAATAAATGTAATTAAAAAAGGAAACGATGTGTATTTCAAATGGATATAGTTGGAAGAGTGAACCTAATTTTATATAAAAAATATATTCAAAAAATAGGTCAAATAGAAAATTTGAGGAGCATATTTAACAAATGATGACTCATTTTTCCATGTGTTCCAAAAAACTTTCGTAGGGGAAAAAGTTGAGAAGGCTGAGAAAAAGAAGAGTCAAAAGTTTAATTTTCGAAAGTTTCATTTCATTTCCCAACATTTTCTTTTGTTTAACGTAATCTTCAAAACGTTTTGGGCTTTTTTGTTTGTCTTGACACCTATAAAATGGAAAATTTCAGAAAAATATTTCCTTGCTTCTGATCTGCAAATATCTGCTTACAGGGGCTTTTCAAAACTTTATGCATTTAAGAACTTAAAGTTTTGATATAAAATAAGTCAAGTGGTATGAAAAAAAATGGAAGAAAAAAGGGAAGAGCATTGGAAAAAAAAGAACTTGGACGCACTTACTCAATTAAGTTAGCCGCAATTTTTCTCCAATTTTTTCTTTCCGTTTTTTCCCGTTTATATACTTTTTCTCTACTTTTTCAGATAGACATCTGCTACATAAAAAAAAATATTTTTTTCATTTGTCTACATTCAAAAAAAAAGTAGAAGGCACCTTTTTGGCACATGCTGGGGAACAATTAATGAGGAAAATTATAAGTGAAAAAAAAGAGATGGAGAGTTTTGGAATTGACGTTTTGGAAAGTTGAGAACCAAAAATTAATCGAAAAGCGCAAAATTTTGTGTGCAAATATAGAAAATTATTAGAGTTTTCTCTCTGATTCAATTAGGCTAAAGCAAGTCAAACATGTTTGATCTGTAAGTTTTCAGAAAAAAAATATTATAATCACATTTTCATAAAACAGGTGATTCTAGGAAAAAGAAATAAGGACTCAGATTTTGATTCTTAAAACTAAATATTCCAGAAATTTTTTGAAAGAATGAAACTTGGAAATATATAAAGCATGTGTTTTTTGGAACTCTAAAATTCTAAAGACGGGAAATCGAAAAGCCTAGAAAATAAAAACTCGCCGAAATTTTTGAAATTTCCGGAGTTCCAGAAACCTAAGAAATCTAGAAATTTTAGCAGAGATTCAAAAATGAGAGAAATCTATGAATTCCAGCAAAAACATCCAAGTGGAAAAAAGCACAACAAAAATACCCGGACATTACGAAAAAGGATAAATCTGAAAATTTTTGTCTCCCTTTCACACTTTTTTTTCTGAAAGGGCCCTCTCACAGCCTTTTCAGATTTTTTGGACAGTGGAATAAATGGGAAGAATTTTTCTGAGAGAGTGTAAAATCTTTTGAACGAAACGGAAAATGAGAAGAAGACAGAAGGAGCGCTAGTAATTCAAGAAGAATAGAAAATGGATATGTGGAGAAATAAAGAGATGAGAAGATATAGAATGTGTTGAAATTTTTGGGGTTCAAAAAATTGTAGCGCCAGAGTGATAAATATGAAAAGAAAACTCTGATATCATTTTTATAAATACCAAAAACTGCCATCACAAAAATTCTGAAAAGTCGAAGAAATTTTTCTGACATTTTTTTCATCTCAAATTTTATTTTTTAATGAGTTTCAGTTTTAAATTAAACGTATAATTCGATTTATCAATTAATCCCTGAAACGAGTATACCGTAAAACCTTATTAGAAGGACCCCTTTAATAAATGGGTAATAGAAGGACCCTCCGAGAGGGGCTTGGAAAAATAGAATGGCCCCCTGTAATAGGAGGGCACTCGTGATAGAAGGGCCGTTTTGAAATCAGAAAATTTCCGTACTTTTTCAGTGTAAAATATTCAGAGAACTCCGCAATTTAATAGAAATTTTGTTGAAACTCTACTTTTCGATAAAAATCTTGCTAAATTTTGATGAAATTGGCAGATTTTTATGAATTTTGAACGAAACTTTGTCGATTTTTTCGATGAAAAATTTCGGGAAAAAAAACTGGCCGGAAAAATAGAAGGGCCCCCTCTAATTGAAGGGCCCTCCAGTGGAATATAAGGGCCGGCCCTTCTCATACGGGTTTTACGATAACTGTCACGAGTTTACAAATGAAACCCTCCTACACACTTGAAAGATCGGAAACTGAAAAGTACACTTGGAAATAAAGGTTTTTCAGGAAATTAAAAAATAAATAAGATGATATCACTAAAAGATATTCTAAAAATGAAAAAATTTCAACAAACATTTGCGGGACCTTGAAAATCAAATATTCAAAAAGTTTTTCAATATCTCTGGAATTTTCAGAATTACTATCAGAAATCTGAAAATACTGATACCCAAAACGGACATTAACTAAAAACCTGAAAATTTTCGTGCTCAAAATATATAGCTGGAAATTCTCCCAAATTTTTTTTTCGGACAGCCAAAGAAAAACAAAAATAGGTGCGATTTATTTCAAAAACGACAGCCAATTTCCAATTTTCTGGTGCTTTGACTTGAATTTGTGAATAAAGTTCAAAGTTAAACAAGCCGTAAAAACTGGTTTGCTCTGAAACGCTAGATGTTCCGCTGAAAAATATTTCCAGACATATGAAAAATGACACCTTGCCTTTTTTAGACACTAATTATTGCACTTAATTTTTGGGTAAAAATCCTCTCAAATTTTCAAATAAATTTTTGCCACTGGTTCCTTGAACATGTGGCTGGACAGAAGAAATATAAAACACAGAAAGCAAAAAGTGAAGAGGATATGTTTTTTTAATGTTTTACGGTTCAATTTTATGATCTACGGAAAAGCGAAGAGATTTTTTTTCGAGAAAGTGAGAAGAACTTTTTTCTTATTATTTACACCTCAACTATTCTCACGGGAAGTTCTGTCTGAAGATGTTCAAAACTGTACACTTTCTCAGAACCTATAGTTTATGATTTTCAAATTACATCAACTAGTTATCCACTTTGAAAATAATTTACATCTGAATTTCAGCACTACCTACAAATTTGTGCACCTTATAAATTTTTAGACTTTTGTGAATTTCTTCTCTCAAAATTCCGAAATCTAATCGTTTTGAAAACCTGAATGTCTGCATGGAAAAAACAGCAAAAAAAAAATGGAAAAAATTACTAAAAATCCTTTTTTCTGGATCTGTTACATTTCTGTCCACTGAAACACCAGAAGACCATGGATGAAAAAAAAAGACAAAAAGTGTATTGATGTCAGTTGTGAGTCTGTGTCTTGATGGGGGAAAACCCATCATTTCGAATTGCAAGATTTGAGATTCGAGAGAAAGATGAAAAAGAGCAGAGAGGTAGCAAATTGGACTCATGAAAGTGTCATTATGATTGACAGATAGAGAAAAAAGTAAGAGAGGGTTAATTAAAAGGGTAATTAAGAAAAAGTGACATGGAAGGGTATAAAAAAAGCACAAAGATCAAAAGGAAGATCAAACTATTCAAAATAATACATTCGAAAATTTTTATCAAAAAGTTCCAGATCTAAAAAATTCTAAGAAAAACCAAAGAATTGTTTCCTGAGGAAATCTGAGAACAATTAGGGAAGTATCCGATTTCTGCAGGTACACAAAATATAGGGGGACAAGAATTTTTTGTACAAAGAAACAGAAAAAAATATTGGTTTCTTTTTCTTCGGCCGCTATTCTTTCTGCTTGATGCCAAAAAGCTGGAAAACTAAACAAAACAAATCCACTTGAAAATCGTGAAAATGGGTTATCGAAGGCGAGAAAATGAGCATTTTAAGAGGGGGATCCGGAAGAAAAAAAGAGGCTAGAAATTTTAATTTCGGCATTCAAGAAAATCGAAAAAAAAACCAGTGGCAACAAACGAGGGATCGAGAAATCAAAACAAAAACATTTTCGAAAAATTTCAAAAACACTTTTTATTGACCATTTGGTTCTGATTATGAAAACTCCAAAAAAACATAAATTCTTCACTTCCAACTTTTGAAAAAACAAATTTTCCCATGATCTCGAGATTCAAACTTCCGTGAGACTATGTGTTTTAGAATACCCCACCAAACTGCAGGTTTCCACAATTTTTTGTATACTTTGAATCTCAGATCATCTGCAAATGTCCATTTTCAGTGTATTGTCTTTTTTTTCAATTTTCAGTTCCAATATTTTCCCGATATCCCCAATAATCATAATTTTACTGTATGTTCAATTTTTTCATTACATGGGAATCTCGTATCTTCCATCCTTTCCTTCACTACCAGCTCCAAAAACCGGACACAGCGCGTGGTCATCATCATCATTGCCTGGACTCTTTAGAATGATGGCACACATTGTTTCGTATGCCTGCGTCTCCATTGTCTACAGTAGTTTCTCGTTTGCTCTCAAGAGATCTTGCCGACGTTTTTTGAAGGAAACGAGCAGAGGAAGAAAAAATGGGAGAGAGCAAAAGAACTTTTCTCTCTGTCGGGGCAACATTTTTTGCCATGTAAGACACTTATCACTTGAGATTCTCCGTGTGTGCCACGTCTGTTCTCGTGAGTGTTCGGGTGTAAAACTAGATTTCCTAGGTTCAATCGTACTTTTGAAAAAGGGATTTTGAACAATAACTGTGGTAGAGTACGAGTTGAACGAGACTAAATCATTGAACAAGTAATTTAAGTTTGTTAAAGTCTATCTTGAAATTGAAAACCAAAACACAACGAAAAAAACTGATCTATGTACTCACACAAAAAGTAACCATAACCAGAATCGTGATACTTCTCTCCCACTCTTTTCTTTTTTTGCTAGCATTTTTGTACACAAGAACACAAAACAAGGTCTGCAAACATTACAGGTGTCAAAAAATGTCTCGTATGTAAAAAGACAAAAAAAGTGTTGCATTGGATGGAACGTGGGTTCAAGTTTTCGAGGGGTAGATATTGGCCAATCGGATCAAGTACTCAAATTTTTTTGAGCAACTCACGCTTTTGGTGTTCTCAAGTAGTACACTCCGCCTTTTTGGGACAGTAGTATTTCATATACCATTTTTGTAACATCCCTTTCTAATTATGATGTTCCACGAGTTTTTCCACCCAAATCAAATTGCTTCTAATTACAAACACCCTCACCTGCATAGTACAAAACTGAAGTTTCTGACTTATAAATGAAGAGATTTATCAGCGCTTTTACAGCAATGATTATTAGCTATTTTTCGAGACATTTAAAAAATCATTTCCTTAAAAATGAAGAGAATTGGTATAAATTTCATTCTACTAACCACTTGGGCCCAATTCTGAAGAAATGTTATCAATTGTCTATTTATAACATTTTCAGTTTTCATGTATGGCGAATTTTCTCAAAGTCTTACAAAATTATCATTGCCTCGCAAATAACTTTTTTTGTTACTGAATCGTGAGAAAAGGTACACTCATACAAACAATATATCCCTTATCCGTCCGTGAAAAGAGTATCTCTTTCTTGAGTTTTTTTCATGCTCCAAGGCAAGCGGAGACACTTGCGAGGTCACTGTGTGTCCACTATAGACAGCGGGTACTATTATTTGTTATATATCTTCGAAAACCACGCGAAACGGGTGGGAAATTGAAAGATGAGAAGAAGAAGTAGAAAAAGCTGACGGTTTTGACAGGAGGGCGGAAGGATGATATAGGAGATAAGACTATATTGTCTTGAACATTTTGTGCTATTGATTTTAAGGTTGTTTTAGTCTATGAAAAATAGTATTTTATTCAATGAAAAGGTGACACTGAAAATCGGTGTGGAATACCGTAAACACTCTAATAGAACGCCGCCCGGACTGTCCACTTGTCCACTTATATATCTCACTTCTTTTGGAAGACATCAAAAAGTTGTCAACTAATAAAAGTTTTATCAAAATATCAGCAACATTTTAATATTCGACCACTTTTTGATATCTCTAACAGAAAATGAGAGACATGGGCTCAAATTTGACGATTCGTGTGGCGTTCTATTAGAGTGCTTACGGTATGTTGAACTTTCTTTTCTAAATTTAACATAGAGTATCCAGGTTTTAGGTTTTTTATTGAACGAAAAAATTTATGAGGAATCGTTGAGACATCAGAGATGACAAAATAGGACGACACTAAAATCAAATCTTCATTTTTTGACCAATTGTCATTTTCTCCCACTTCCTTTTCAATTTTCTCACTGAAAAGTCCAAATTCCATTTAGACGCACCTCGGTAATCTGGCCTGCCTGCCCTCAATATGTTCTGGTGTGCTCAGGAATGATTATTCTGTGTCTCCTGCTGCTCCAATTTCTATTTGTTTTTGTTCCTTCCCTAGGAAGAAGGCCACACCTGAGATTGTGGAAGAAACGGAAAACAAATGTGATTATTTCATCGTCTTACCGCTCTTTTTGACGATTTTTCGCTTTTTTTAGGATTCTCACTTCGGAAGTTTTTTTTTATTCATTATCAAGCAATATTACTGTCAATTTTACGAGTCAATCAAACTTTGCATAAAATAACTTCATGGAATGCCTTAGATTCAATATTACCAACAACATATTTTTTGATCTGGGGGTACTTTTTTGATTTTATGTTATTTTAAAACCAAGCAATTCTAAATGTTTTTAAAACCTGTACAAGTAATCCATGGAGGTAATTCATAGAACATAGACCAAATTATGATCGTTTAGAAGAGTGTTTATTTCCATGTGTTCCTCGAATGTTTATCAGAACTGTTTTTTTTTTCAAATTAGAGTCCTGTCGTTTTAGAGTTTTGTGTATTAGGGTTTCCATTTGGGGGGCGATTCACCCGCCCGAGCCCACCCGGAGGGCCCCCCTCCCCTTAAATTTTATTAAAATTCACACGCATTTAATTGCGGGGGGCCGCGGGTGGGAGCCCCCCGGGTGGGTAGCGGGTAGCCCGCTTCTTCACCCGCCCAAATGGAAACCCTAGTCGGGAGGCATGTTTGGTGAAAGTTAATTTTTTTAATCACATACAAATATAATGTATTTTTTGGATAAATTAGGTTGTAGCCAAACCTTTTTGACAAACATTTTTCATCAATTAGCTAAAACGGATTCATCGCGATATTTGCACTACGCTTTCAAATTATTTGTAATGGTGTCAAGTTTAAATTTCGAAAGAAGTCTGAACCGTTCGGTCATCTAATGACAATGACTGAGATATTTTTGTTTTAGATTTAATCCGTGTAATCTAGAATACTCATTCACAGACAGTCCAAGTTCCAATCTTAGGAATAAACGGTTTGACGTTTGTCTCCTCCTCCTTCCTACACCCCAACCCCAAAAGACAAACAAAACAGAGTTTTATATTCATTCTCTTCTTGACCAACACTTGTCAAGGGGCGAGTTAGGTAAAGAAGTGTCTCCCTCTCTCCCTCCAATGTCCGGTGGTGGCGCTCACAAAAAAACAAACACACGCTGGACAGGCAGTAACCTCTCAGAGTTATCCGTTTTTTATCTCGATCCCCGAGGGCTCGAGTGCAGAAAATTTCAAAGTCTTTGACCCACTTCCGACTTTTTTTAGAAGACGCGAATCGTGGGAAAGCTCTCAGGAAGTACTTTGGTGTTCAATGATCCTATCGTTCCTTTTCTTGTTACCCGCAATACTTTTTCTAGATTGATTTTTAGTTGGGTGAATTCTGTTGGGTTCCTTTGTTAGCCGACGTTTAAGTTGATTTTTTTCTCAATTTTTCCAAATTCTGATGATTTGAAAAGTTTCTAAAATAGTGAAGCCTCTTTGGAATTTAAAAGTTTGAAGTTCACATTTTAAGACTTTCGAAGTATTTCTCTTTTACACATTGAAAGCGTTAATACCCCCTTTTTCCCGTTCTTTTCCTAACCCCGTGTGCTAACAAAACCTGTCCTGTTCCAATGTGCAAAACTATCGAATTTCCAAATGATTCCCTAATTAGCAAGTTTTCTTCCAAACAACGTCCCTCGCAATGCCCTCGAAAAATGATTTATTTGAATAGTAAGATTGAATTTCATGAACTTTCGCAAGTGGCCAGTTTTTTGGCAAGGAGTTGAATTTTGGGCATCATTGAGAATGTTTGATTGATTTAGGGGGTCATCAACTTTATGAACATAGTCAAACAGTTGTCTGAAGAATCCTCAGAAAAGACGAAATAGGTTTTACTTTGCTTTAAAGAGTTTTTTCAGGATTTGCTAGGAAACCCCATTCAATCCGATTTATTTGTTTTGTTTTTTTTATATTCATTTTGAAACTATCACAACTAGGTTCATAAAATCCTATTGAAAACAATTTTTTTCCGAGTTTCTTGTTCTTTAAGGTTCAGAATTGTAGAGGATGCATGTGTGAACGTCAGCCTGACCTGTTTAGACGGCGGTCATGCTCAATTTTTCTTACAACTAACAGAGTCTCGGAAAAAATGAGTAAAATTTTTTTACGCAACTACCCTACCAACGCATCTCTTCGAGGTGACGCTTCTTCTTGCGCAAGACACAGACCTACTCATCATTTTTTTTTCCGCGCGGAAGCCTCCTACGTGACGTAAGGCTCTCTTCGGTGCTCCTTGCGCCCAGAACCCTCTAACAACTAGTCAGGGGCGTGGGGCGTAGATACTTGGAAGGGGGAAGAAGCATCCAGCTTAATAATTGCCACGATCTTTTCAAACAATTGTTGCACTAGACTCACCTCCTCCTGTATTCTTCTCTATTCAACTTTTGTCGTTTCTTTTTGATCCTACTGAAAATTTCCAGTTTTCACAAGTTTTTTGAACGGAAATCAAAAATCATAAATTCTTGAATTCTCGAAAAGTGGTTTCAAATTTAAATTATAAGTTTATTATGATTATAACTTATTATAACCCCTAAGCTAGAATCCAGAAGAATTTTTCCGATTGTTTTTTTTCTGACAGAGATTAAGTTCTCCCATCAATATTTTTCAAACAGTCGAGAAATCAATCTGAAGGGAATCAAATCAATCTGAATCAAATATTATTATCATTTTACATCGCATATCTTCTTTTTCTAATTTTTGAAATTTTTTATAATCAGTGTGTCTTTTCTTTCAAATTACATAAATAATACATCTAGGTCTCTGATATAGTTTTGAGAATGTTGAGTTTTAGCATACATTCTAAAAGCTGACATATGAAAAAAAAACTTTTTGATCTACCTCGCCTTCTATGCTCCAAAATCTCAGACAATCAGGTTTTGCCGCTCTATCTGTCTCACTTGTTTCTGTCTATACATAATACTCACAACCACCCCTCCTTTCAAATAAACACAGAACATTCTTGTCAAGTGGTTCAAATGGCTTCGATGAGGAGAAACATTGACTCATCGAGGGTGTGTACTACCTGAGATCTTATCATTTTATTCGCTATTGAGAACTGGTTCTCAAATTTTCTGATAACTATGATTTCATTAGTTTTTTAAAAGACTGTATCCTTGGTCATATTTGCTTAAAGTTAGTGTCCTGGTTGCACCAATCGTTTTCCTCGCAACTATTCTTCAAAACTTTGCGAGCTACAATATCCTGAAATTCTTTTCCGGCTACTCTTCATTCAAGTTTTAGCATTTTCGTTTTTCGAAAATCGCATTTTTTTCAGGACGATGCCTCCACTCAGGTGGACCTTTTTAGTACTATGCGCCGTCGTAGCAGTCCGAACGGCCGATGACAGTCTCATCGACTCGTTCAAAACAATGTTCTTCGGTAATGAACCCGAAAAGACCAACAACAACGACTCTGCTGCGCCACCACAGAATAATCCTCCGATCAGTTATCATCAATATGCTGCTACTTCTTCTTGTGAGTGTTTTTTGTGAAACTTTTTATTTAAAAAATGTAATGAAATTCATCTAATGAAATGCATCAATGTTTCAGCTAGTCGCTCGCAGCCACCATCCGGGCAGTCTTGTACATTACCACGTCAAATCGGAACCGGCCCATATCGGATTCCGAGATGGTAAGTTTTAAATTATCATAAGGGCTAAATAGACTATCCAGTACTAATCAAGCTCATTTTGCTGCTTTTTAGGTACTACAACCCTGTTCGCGGACGTTGCGAGTTGTTCTACTGGTCCGGCTGCTGTGGAAACGGAAACAATTTCCAAACGTTTCAAACGTGCCAATCGACCTGCGAAGGTAATTTATTTTTTCTTAATAACCCAGGGAATTTTCAGGAAAAACATATAAAAAGACTTTTCTAGAGTCTCGAAAAATCTCTGAACATTTTAGTAGCAAATTCCATTTCGTCTCAAACTTCCTCTTCTTCACAAATTGTATTTTCAACGCCTCACCTATCGGTTTTTCAACCATCGTCCACACAAATTGACGTTCTATTCCAACCCAACCATTATCTCTCAATGCCACCAGTTCTTTGCTCGTGTTGTCTTCGACCATATTCTGAGGGTTACGGCTCCTCAAACCTTCTTAGGTTCTATTACGACGCTCCCACTAAAACATGTCGTCAGTTTATCTATAAAGGAATGGGCGGGTACGGGAATCAATTCGAAAATGAGCAAAAATGTCGAAACTCATGTGGTGTTAGTGGAACTATCGCCCCACAAACTCTGGCCACACCTCCACCGACACTTCTGATGACTACCCAAACTACGACTACTCTTCCACCTGTCGTCTATTTGCCAACAGGTTCTTACGTGTGAAGCTTTTTTGGCTTTTTACCCCGTCGTTCCCAGAGTGTATTGTTTTCAGCATTGTATCCCTTTGAAAGTATTTTATCAGCTTCAAAGCTGGATTTTCAGCTTTTTGTGTCCCTGAAAATTTCAGAAACTAAACGTGTGTAAACCTTGTTTCAAAGTGTTTCCAATCATTTTTTTCAGTCACAAAAATTCTCGTAACTTGCTTCGATTTCGAAAATTTATATTGATTCAAGTTTAAAATGTAGAGCAAGACCTATAACGCAATCAGTGTGTATCTTCCCCCAAAACGTGTGTCCCTAAATTTTCAGTCGATCCCTGCTCACAAGACAAAGAAGCTGGTGTGGGTGCTGTGCAAATTCCTCGCTTCTTTTTCAACAAAGACACACGCCTCTGCGAACAATTCCAGTATTTCGGCACCGGCGGAAACCGCAACAACTTCCAAACGCTTGAAGAGTGCCAATCACAGTGTCCAGGTTGTGTGTTTATGCACTATTAACTTCTACTTAACATATTTATTGCATGGACTAATTCGAAGGCCTTTGTTTTTGTTTAACATCTTCATGGAATGGGGTTCTTATTGGTGAATAAGGAAAATATTTGGCGGTGAAGGTTCCGATCTTTTTTTACGCTTATGGGTTATCCAATATACACACCCAAACCACCGGTGAAGGCTTATCATGGCATGCGCACACAGCATACTGGGAATTCCGGAGCGGGACATCATTTGAAGCATTTCACCCATATAATATTTTCAGAAAGCCCGAACCCATGTGCTGTTAGCAGCGGAGCAACTTTAGCACCATGTGCTCCTGGACAAGGATGCGGTACTGGAAGCTATTGCCACGTTGGTGCCCAGACTCAAACTACAGTATGCTGTCCAAAACCAGCCGCTGTCGATCGATGCCAACAACCATTGAATGTTGGAATTGGTAACTCGAATTTGCAGAGGTAAGATTTTAATCATATCGTAACATAATGTTAATAAAAATGCTATTTTGCACTAAGAAGAAATAATCTTTCATTTTTTCAACCAATCAAAATTCTGTGAAATTTTCCAGATGGTATTTCAACCCACTCACTCAACAATGTCAAACCTGTACCTACCGTGGACTACAAGGAAACGAGAACAACTTTTTGTCCCAAAACGAGTGTGAACAATCTTGCTTGGGTGATTCTAGCTCTCAAACTGATTAACTTTAAAAAAAATTTCAGTCAACCCCTGCAAAATTGGATCTCCGTTCCGCTCTCAAGGAATTACTGTTCAGTGCTCTGCCAATAGTCCTACAGTATGCCCAGCTGGCTATTACTGCCATTTGGGAGCCGATCAGACGACTTCAGTATGCTGTCAAGCTCTTGGTACAGAATAATATTTTTAGACATTATTATTTAATTTACAGTCAAGGAAAATTTTCAAAAACTAACCCAAGCTCCAAATTTTCTAACTGCGTGATTCTCCCCAATGGCCCATTTCTGTATAACATGGAAAATTCTCTACTAACCCGATGAAATCTATAATTTCAGGTTATTGGTACTTTGGTTCGGGTTATGGTACTTTTGTTCAGGTTATGGAAAATGAATTGGTAGGTCATTGGTGTCTGAGGTTGCATGTAAACATCCTAGTTTATTGGATTGGTATGTGTACTAATTGCGTTTGTTTTTTTTTTGTTTTTAAATGTGCTCGATTCAGTTTTCATTGGTATCTTTAAATACTTATTTTTCGGGACTCTGAAAAATTGACTCAAAACTTTCGACTATTGTGAAAGTTTTTGAGCGTACCAATCAAAACTGGAGTTTCCCTATCCTTGTTTGACATGCTCTGAAATTTTCTGGAATAATTTTTTAAAGTTATTCAATACTTTACGATTCGCTGACAAATTTGTGTGTTTCATTTGTGATTTTTGCTGTTGTATGAGTAGAAAACTGCATTCAAAAAACACTTTCCAGGAAACTCTCCATGCGAGGAAGAAATGACTCAAGGCGAGGGGTCCGCCGCACTCACCCGCTTCTACTATGATGCTCTCCAAAGAAAGTGCCTTGCCTTCAACTATCTAGGTCTGAAAGGAAACCGCAACAACTTCCAATCCAAGGAGCACTGCGAAAGCACTTGTCCAGTATGGATCAACCCTTGTGCCATTGGACAACCCGTAATGACCCCGCAACAGAAACCATTCCAATGCCACCAAGGAGCTACTTGCTCTTCTGGATACTTCTGTCACCTCGGTTTTGACGACGCTACTACTGTGTGCTGCCAATCCGAAGGTGACCCATGCAGTCTTGTTGTGAAGGAAGGAAACGGAAACCATCACTTGTCTAGATGGTTCTACAACCAGAAAACTCGCCAGTGTCAACCGTTCACCTATACCGGACAGGGCGGAAATGAAAACAATTTCTTGCTCCGAGAGCATTGTGAAGCTACGTGTCCAGTTTGGATTAACGCTTGCCCATCTGGAGAACCATACCTTCTTCCAAACGGAAAACCACAGCCTTGTGACTCCACGAACCCAAATGCATGTCCTCTGACTCATTGGTGTCATCCTGGACCTGATGCTTCTACGACAATGTGTTGCCCAGGAAGAGCAGACCCTTGCACAAATACATTGGCTCAAGGAGAAGGACCACTTAGTGTGACAAGGTAACCAACAACTTGATAAAAATGCAGAATTTTCAAGGCTATCCAGAACTCAAAACCTTTTAATCTTCTCTAGGAAAATTTCAACAAGCTTGTTTATCACATATCAATTGAATCCTTTTCAACCTTTCAGATACTACTTTAATGCTCAAAGCCGTACCTGCGACGAGTTCATGTTCCGCGGCTTGAAAGGAAATTCCAATAATTTTAACTCTCTGGCAGAGTGCGAAAAAGCGTGCCCTGTTCAGCAGAATCCATGCCCGATCACCATGTCTTCCTTGAAACATTCGGTAACTAGACATTTAATGAAAGATAAATTGTTAATAAGATTTTCTAATTACAGGCCAAACTTGTCCCTTGTTCCGCCACCAAATCCTGTCCATCCCAACAATGGTGCCACTACGGAGAAACCAAGGAAACAACAGTTTGCTGTCCAAATGGTAAGTTTTCAATTTCATTGTTTTTTAAATTAAAGGAATAACTAATTTATTGGTAATCTCGGGCTTAAAAATGATCGGGAATGAGCCATCTTGCAGAAATGTGCCCTGGGTTCAAAAGTTTCGTAAGAATCGGCTGGTTCTTCATTCTGAACCAAATTGTAGAGATACTTTTCTTGCCTTCGTAGATTGGGCAGCCGCCATGATCAGAAAGGTCCTCCTTAAGAAGGATGATTAATAACATTGAATTTTCAAAAACCTACCTGTTTAGTATTTCCCATCGCGTTGAACCAGAAAAATGCGTCTCCTGTGTTTGGTCGTATTGCGGCGTTCAGTGATGGGAAAATAGTCGCCCCGCCCAACTCCGCTGTTTCAAAAGCCATAATTAGGGTTCCGAAGCGATTACCGTAGTCTTTCATCCAGCCATCCCATTCTTTTTCAGAAGGGTACTCCAAGAAGTCATGGTGGGCGGCATAGTGACCACCACGGATGTAGGAGAGGGCCTGGAAAAATAATTGCTAAAACTTTTAATGTAGCAAGAATTTTACAAATTAGGGTTTTCAAAAAAAAATCATTTCAAATTTCGTTAAACTCACCACAATATCCTCCGAGCTTTCAATATTCAAAGTTGGTATCAAAATTTTGACAGTTTTCCAAATTGATAAAGCCGCTGGGAAGTCCGGAGCTATGATTTGAGTTCCATTAGCTTTTCGGTACTTAGAGTAGTATTCCGTGCCATCATCGTTCACCACTTGCTAAACATTTTTATTTAAAGTTTTTTCAATCACGAAAACGTTTACCTGCTCTTCAAAATCTTGGTGTTTCATAATTTCTATATAATCAAGAACCTGTTTTTTGGTGAACATGTCTCTATAAATGACAAGTCCCGGGCTCCAAGAAATAACTTCCACTTTGACGGCTTGAAAACTGATTAGATACTCAAAGCATACTGCTCTTCTCCACTGCCAGGTGGTATCCTTCGCCACGTTATCACAAAGATCTAGGTATTGCTCATACCAATATTCCTCACCCTCGAAACTATCTTTCCCATTGGATGTGTAACTAGAATTGTCTTCAGAAAAAGCAAGAGGTAATAGGAAAAATAAGGAGAAGAGAAAAAGTTTGTATAGCATAGCTGCAAAAGTATATGTTGTCTTTTCTGAACAATATTTTATGATTTCTCCGATAGTTTTTTATTTCTCCGAAAAGGCTTAATGTTTTATGCAAAGAAGTGTTTTGTATCATAAACTTGGCCATCATGCGCGCACGGCAGGGAGAACTCTTGACCATTGGCATGAACCCAGAGTGTAGCACCTGTAAAAATAGTTAATTGAGTAGTTAATTACATACATATTGAAAACCCACAAAGTGTGAAGTTTTAACAAAACTATAAACAGAAATTGCTTCAATTAGAAATATTTTTGAAAAGCCAAACAACTACCTATTTTTGTCCCTTCCTTGATTGGGCACGCCGCATGAAGAGTCTGTGAATCGGATTCTCCATCTGGAACAGTGTTCAGCCAAACCACAACGTCTCCAATTTTCGGTCGAATGTTGATATTGATTTTTGGGAATACGGTAGCTAAATTTCACTTTTGTTTAATTTCATCCAAATTTTCGTGATTGACTAAAAAACTCACTTCCTCCTTTTTTAGCTATTTGCAAAATCACCAGCACTGTAGCAATCCTATTCCCACGAGACTCCACCAAGACCTTATTTGTTTCTGGATTCAGAAAATCGTAATGTGGAGCATAGTACCCTTCAGAATTATAGCTTAATATCTGCCATGGTTCTGCAGTACTTAGATCCAGGGCTCTGATATTTACTTGTAAATTCCAGAATATTTTTGCAAAATTTGGTCGTTTCGTGTGGATTAGCCATGTTCCGTTTGCTGCGCGCACTTGGGACTTTTCAGGGGTCTCGGTTTTCCCGGAGATTCTCTGGAAAAGTAATTGTTGTGTATTGATAGTAAAAGGTTATTATCTACCAATTGCTCTAATTGCAGTGCCTCGGCTTCTAGAACCGATCTTTTGGCTAGTCGGCGATGCACCATGTTATGGTATTGAAGGATAAATGGGCGGAGACTCAGGATTTCGACTTTTTGAATTAAAAGGTGTTTGGAGGAACGAAAGCATACTAGATTCACTGAAATAATTATTTTTCGTTTTTCGGTGGTATTTCGGGAAAAAACTCACCATCCTTCCCTGAGTCTCCTCTCAACTCCTTTCCACACTTTTCCCAAATTTTTTCATTAAATTCTATTACTTCATCGGAATAAGCTAGAAAAATGTTAAGAAATATTAGTAAAATTCTGTACATTATTTCATTTAATTATGAAAATTTTGATAAAATGGTTAGTTGGGGCTGGTATATGGGCTCCTGAATAAACAGTGAAGGATACTGTGTAAATAATTGTGGTCAGATATTTTATTTGTTTATTCACAAATAATGGATAGCAAAAGTAACGAGGTCTTGAAAATGAAGTTAAAAAGTTATTCAATCAGGAAATTTTACATAATTATGTCTATTCGAATTTCCAGCTGTCGATGACCCATGCACAGCTCCACCTCGTAACCCAGGAGTCGGTGAATACCATGCCACCAGATGGGCCTTTGATGGATCCTCCCGAAAATGTGTTCCATTTGAGTACCGTGGAATGAAAGGAAACTCCAATAACTTCCTCACTCGAGAAAATTGCGAGAAACGGTGTCCAGTATTTCAAAATCCGTGTAAAATCGGCGAGCCACATATCGTTAATAACCAGTATCTACAGTGCTCACCACAACAGGTACTTGAATGATTAAGCCACTGATACTCCCAATTGAATGGTGAAACAATTTTTCCAGGTCTGCCCGGGAGGTCACTACTGTCATATTGGATCGGAAGCCAACTACTGTTGCAAGGCTTTGGGTATTTTTAATTGTTTGCTGTGATCAACCCCATATTTCCTTGAAAAACTCAAACTACACTAATCAGTAATTTAATCACCAGGGAACATTTTTAGGCGGAGATCCATGCGGACAACCATTGGATCGCGGAGTTGGAGGATCCCAACTCTCTCGCTGGTACTGGAACCAACAATCGCAGTGTTGTTTGCCATTCAGTTATTGTGGACAGAAGGGAACACAAAATAACTTTTTGACGAAACAAGATTGTGACAGAACTTGCTATGGTAAGTAAATTTTCAGAAAGGAACGAGAGTAATCACAAAAAATAATAATACCAGTTCAGTTGTTCAGCTTAGCCAAAAAATCGAGAATTCGATGCAAAAATTGACCGAGTTTTACACAATTTTATGAGTAAAAACATAAGAGCCTTCTACTCCTATTTCTACCATTACCCCACAAACTCCGTGAAGTTGCTCAGAGAGGAGATTTAAATTCCTGTGAACTTAAAATTTCAAATTTTCTTATCCTTTATACCCAAAACCCAAATATTCAATTATAAAAGATACAATACCCCCAAAAGCCCATGTGTGAGAATGAAACTTTGTGTACCTGAAAAAAATCTTAAACCGCTGAAGTCCATGAACTCCGATATTCCCCATTGAAGATACTTCCAATCGTTTTTTAGATTTTAATATTATCTTTTTATTCGAACTTTTTATTCTGAAATTTTCCAAGACCCCAAGATACCAAGGCTTACTACTAGACCAAATATGCCCTTTGATGTGTCTTGGGCGTCCCAACCCCGTTTTTCATCAATCCTCCGGATCCTGTTTGATCTACGAACCCTGATATTCCCTTTTCCCTATCCAGTCTTGCTTGATTTCCAGAACTCGATAACCCATGTGCTCTCGGCGACCCACAAATGGCTCAAAACAATCGTCCACTCCAGTGCTCCACCTCCTCCAACACCTGCGGTTCACAATTCTGGTGTCATTTCGGAGCCAACCAGGACACCACAGTTTGCTGTCCAGGAAGAGGTGCATTTTTGTTGCTAGACCCTTGAAACTTCCCCCTGACCGTTCTCACTTGCCCCTTCCTACTTTTCAGTCGAATCTCCACAAATTTGCCAACAACCAATGGTTGCTGGATCCGGAGGAGCATCATTGCCACGATGGTATTATAACGCAACGACTATGCAGTGTGTACAGTTTAACTATCAAGGACGCATGGGAAATCAGAACAACTTTTTAAGCCAGCAAGCTTGTGAACAGACGTGTCCAGGTAGGAAGAGAAAGAATTTGGTTAAGATCATGACGTTGAGAGCGAAAATCGTCCTAAAAATGAATACGTTCAAGCAATTTCGGATGTCAAATGATACATGCCGCTATCTGGCTAAACTTTTCAGAGCTATTTGTCCTCTACTTGAAGAATGCAATCTTTTTTACCGCAATATGTATCGCAAGGTTTTATGACCAAGTAGCAATGTTTTTACCACACTGAAAACTTTACCCAAATTTTTCATGCTACTGTATATGTCGCTTTTTGAATTCACCCCATTCATACAAACTCCCTCTGCATCCCCCACCCAAAAAATTGCAGTCTACGTGAATGTATGTCCCACTGGCTCCCCACTGCTCGACACATCCACCAACAAGCCTGTACCATGCACATTTGGATCCAACTCATGCGGAGGTGACCATTGGTGTCATCTCGGTCTTGTACCAGACGAGTATCAATGTTGTCCAGGATCTCCTGCTAATCCAGGAGCCTGTCAAGGGCTTCCGTCAGCAGACGGCGTACTAGGCGCGCCAGCACCACCGACTTCTAGATGGTACTATGATCAGACGGATATGCAATGCAAGCAGTTCACCTACAATGGAGAAGAGGAAATCAGAACAATTTCTTGACACAAGAGGACTGTGCAGCAACTTGTGACGGTTTGTATAATTCCTTTTGATTGAGCATGAGTGTGTTTGTGTGCGACTTCCACTTCTATGTCTCTATCTCTAACCTTTTTTTCATATTATTAAATCTAAAAAACTTCAATTTCGGGCTCCACTTCTGTTAGATTTGTTTATCTATTTCTATCTATTTAGAATAGAACCTTAGTTTTTGTTATGTTCTTCATTTTCCAATGCCAAGTATTTTAGTATTCACCAACCCTTGCAATCAACCAATCCCTCTCCCAGCAACAATGTGCTCAGGAACCGGAGCTTCAGACACTTGTGGAGCCAACATGTGGTGCCATATTGGAGCCACACAAGATTCGACTGTCTGTTGTCCATCTGGTAGGTTTTTCATTAACTTTGTTTCGTTTTTTAAAAGGGCGACTCCGACCAAAATTTTTATTGCATTAAAATGTGTTAAAATTTATCTATTTTCCTAATATTATTGCGAAAAAATTCAAAAGAAATCCGAAATCCCCGAAAAACGCCGTTGAAAATGGAAAAAATTCAAAAAAGGTGCCGCCGGGGGACGAGGATTTGAATTCCCGCGCAGTGAGAAACCTAGGCCACGGCGCCTGACAGCATTATTTTCAAGGG